GCTGGGTCTTTCCTAATGGCTGGGGCTCAGCTGTTCTTGTATCTATCCTCAAGAAGGGAGATGAAACGAGGCGCGAGAACTACCGCGGTGCATCTCATCGACGTTGCAGCGAAGGTCTTCGTTATTGTCCTCATCTCAGGCGGGATTCCGTGCTGGGCGTGTATGTGCGGACCAGATATTCACGCCGAGGTGCATTCTTGAATTCCGCCGTCATAGCTGCTAACGACTGACGGTCGTCTGTTTTGTTTACCTTGCCGTGCTGTGTTACAGTCCGTCAATTGTGGATCTCTTGTTTATGTGCCACAAAAGATCATCGTCACTTTCAAGGCCTATTGCCGCTCTACCACTGTGCGCTAATTCTGGTCTATTACAGTCTTTCACAACCGTTCGATATGCGGTCTGGCGTTCGATAAAGTTGTATCCTGTTGCCCAGTTCTGTTCAACTACGCCTATTGACTTGGTTCTTGGGAAGGCCTTACACGAAGATAACGGTGTTTTAGTTTGCATCCAGACGCCAGCTGACCGATCTCTCTCCCACACCAATGATATCGCCTTACTAGTTTCAAATGTTGATCAGCAGTCGATAGTGTCGTGAGTGAATGAGGTCGCTAAATCGGTTGAATGGCGGAGGTATTGTTCAGACTATTAATCTAAACGAGTGGTGTTGGTGGGGTGTGACCGATGCCAATCATTCACTTGTTTAACACATGCCGGATTTTTATATGCGCACCTGGACCCTGTATTTTGATGTCTCGGTCTCTGCGCATGACGATGACGATAAACACGAGTTTATCTTCGGAAACATGTGCATACTTTATATCTGGGAGACGTAGGTTATGCTTAGACGCATAATCGAATTACTTTTTTCATGGATACAAGTCATTTGCTACCTCCATGCGCCGCCAGACGTGGTTTTCCGTAGAAGGCACGAAACTTTATCGCGGGGGAGGGGTAAATTAATAAGAAGAACCCTCGCCACTTCGATTGTCAAGCCCGGTTCCTTATGGAAAGGAGAAGAAGTGGCTGGCTGGCTGGCTGGCTAGTAGCCCATGTTGGATCAGGAGCC